TATTCCCCTTATTGTCTACTCTGTCTTTGACTACAAATTTACATATCTACTTTCACTTGAAGCTATCACAAACCTATTTGCAGCATTTGTCTAGAACAATTAAGTCATCGCACAACATAACACCATTTGAAGAAAAGTAAATACATTGGATGCGTTCATTACTCATCATCTATGATAAAGTTGTTGTAGCTAGCATGGTATCATGCCATGGATGATACACATAAACTATAACCATTTGCAACATTAACATTTGGTTGAGAGAATATGTTTCAATCATAGAAAGATGCAACATCAACATATTTTTTTATTTTCTATACATTGGTATTCAAAATTTAGTTGAATGGATACCTACCTATTTGATCTCTAATAGTAAAAGAAAAGTATGAAAAAAATATTAAATCCTTTATATACAGTATACATTATATATATTTCTTATTTCACCGTAAGTTGTAATTTAAAGGTTATAGCCTACCTACCTAGACTCCAATATTTACCATAAAAGAACATGAAATCTCACTCATGTGCATCCAACATATATTGCCATCACACACACACACCACACATACACACACACACCAAAACATCAACAATATTTTACAAACACAACATGGAATACACATGACCTATCCTTAATATTTACAACCACATATCACCACTCTATCCCCGACAATTAACGCTAGAGGTACAAACATATCTATATCTATATCTATATCTATATATTATATATTATATATATATATATATTAATTCTAAACCCCACTAGAAGTTCTATCTCGACTCCAAGCTATATCCACCTCAGCAGCCCACTATCAGATGCAATTATGATATACACGTTAGCGAGACACATTATCCACTGACATGCATTTAGTTGTCTACATCAGTGTGCCACACAATCTACTAACATTATTTATATCTCTTATTTATATCTCTTATAAAGCTAATCCCCACCGCATTTAGTTGCCCACATCAGTGTGCCACGCAATCTACTAACATTATGTATATCTCTTATCTATATCTCTTATAAAGCTAATCCCCACTACAAGTTATATCTTAATATGCAAGCCATCCACATCATCTTCATATCATCTCACTGACTTCCAACCTCTTCGTGCAACCAATTTTGATAAAAATGGATGTAAGAACATGTAGATCATCTAACTCATATGTACAACATTTTATTTCTAACAGAGTTATTGTAACATCCTAAAATTTGCATTCTTTTAAAATTAGTAAATATGATTTATTTAAGCAAATGTGTGTGCATTAAAAGACAGGGAAATAATAAATTTTGTGGAATTAAAATTTAAAAATAAGTTTAGAAACTTTTTGATGCATACATGCTGCTGCATATCATTTTGTGAATGCTTGGAATTTGTTAAAGATTTCAAAAAGAATTGAAAGTTGAATTTAAAAAGGGTTTTGGAAAATAGAAGAAATAGAAAAGGAAAGAATCATTTTTTCCTCTCCTTTCTTGAAATCGGCCTATTGCCCCCTCTCCCTTTCCCCTTTCATTGACCCAAAGACCGCACTCTGCCTCTCCCCTTTTTCCCTCAAACCGTTATTCACCCAGCAGCTTTGCTTTCCAAGAAGCCCAGCCAGGCCACCACTCGGGCGCCAGCCGTTGCCAGCCCAGGTTTGCTCATGCCACCCATTGACCTTTGCCCCCCACTGCCGGCGCCTCTCTCCTCCTTCCATAACCACCCACCAATCAAGCCATAAGCCGCAACCGCCTCCTCGCCCACGTCTTGCGCCATCGTGGGAGCGTCGCCCGCGCCCTTGCCTCTACAAAAGGAAGCCGAGGCCGTCCCCGCACCCTCTGCTGCTGTTCCCCGCTCCCTCTCGCGTCGCCGTGCCCGAGAGAACCACCGCCTCGAGGTCGCCAGGATCCACCGTCCGCCCTCCGCGTGAACCGCCGACTCCGAGCCGCCGTCGACCCTATTTCTCCCTGCTGTGAGCCTCGCCGTTCTCCCCTCTCTCTCCCCGTTCAATTTATTTCTCATTTTGTGGTTTGTATGGCCTTGTCGCATGCGCCGGGAAGCTCCTTGCCACCGGCCATGTCCGCCACCTTGTCAACCGCGTCCTCCGGCCGCCGTATCGGCCCAGACGTGTTCGCCTGCTCCCCCTCTCTCTCCCGGTGCTCACGGTTCATCTAACCGTGGACCGTGGCCCTCGAACCGTGCACACCGGCGAGCTTCACGCCGCCGGCCATGGAGAGCCACCGCGGGAGCTACTGTTCCGGCCACCTTTTCTTTCTCTCTCCCCCGGATCGATTTCTGGCCGTTCATTTCAAATCCGACGGCTCACGTTAGAAGATACCCCTTCGCGGGTGATTATGCTAAAGAGCCCCTCGGTTTTTAGAAAATAGAACCCGCAGTCCCTAGCGCACTTCGCTGATTACGCTTTCTCGTCTTGAAAACGTAAAGTGCACCGTTCTTGTTCAAAATACGTTTTCAGTATTTACAGAAATGCCATTTGAATTGTTTCACTTATAAAATTGTCGTTTTAGCTCCGAATTGATCCATTCAAATCGCGTTAGCTTCGTAATTTCATAAGCTACATGTTAGAACTACTGTTAGTCAAGTTTGGAACTTTTTAAATTCATGGTTAGATTTAATTAAATATATTGCTATAGGAAAACCCGTTTAAATCATAACTTTCACATTTTAGCTCTGTTTTTTCATGAACTTCACGTTGACGTGATCGTGGCGAGACGTAGATTATGTTTACAAACATTTATCTTGTTTTCAATAATATTGGTGTACTGTTCTAATGATAGGAATGTTTGCTTTGCATGAATGCTTTTGGAATGTTGTATGTTGCCGTGTTGGTCACGTTGACGGTGAGAAAAAACGTTAGAGACCAAGAATTCTTGACGACCAGCAGGACCAAAGACGAGTTTGTGAACCAAGGCAAGTATAGCATGGGCCTACCTTGATGTCCTATTCACTTTAATCATTCACTCATGTGCACGTGTCTAACTTTGATAACCATAAGGACATTCTAGTCATTTGATGACTTGTTCCCTTGACTCCTATGGGTTAATTGCATATGGGTAGATTGCTAGTGCTCTAACTGAACATGATCTATTTGATGGTGAATGGTTCTATGGAACTAAAGGTAAAACATGCTTTATAACAACTGATCCATAGGGCGATGGTGCAAATGACTTTTGATCATATTGCTCTCGGCCCTCCATAAGGACTTATCTGTCGGCAAAAGCTGGGACTGACAGTGCAACCGTGAGGGTCATATGGCTCTGACTTTACTCAGTAATAGGACCTTTTCTAGCTTGTTAGAGGTTACCTTTATGGCGCAAAAGGGGCTTGCCACGTTGGATATAGGACTGCCTCTGTTCCTATGTGTATAGCCACGATGGATATGTGCCATAAGAAAGGGGGTTCCTACATCTACCTGCCAAGGAAACCTAGCGGCCCTAACTTGTTAGAGAAACCTATAAAATGGCTTCATAGTGTACCCTGCCCGCTCACCTTGGCAGTGATATGGGAGTAATTAACCTAGGCATATGGGGATCACGACTCGCGGTGAATGTGCACCACCTCTGCAGAGGGTAACAAACTGTTATAACAGCAGTGCTCACGGTCGCGAGCGGCCCAGAAAACTCACAGAATAGATGGCTACTTATAATGTTGTTTATACGAGATGATTATGATGATGTCACATGACTCAATTGGATCGGATATATGATCACGTGGGTTTAAATGGGAGCTTAAGCATAACTTGATAATAGTTGAGGATAAAATCTTGACTTACTAAATGTGCTAACTGCAGTGAACCAGTGTCAACCTTTTTGAGCTTCATAACCCCATGTTATCTTGTTGAGTACGGGACGTACTTACGCTTGTTTACTTTCTATATTTGAATAAAAATCCCGGATGGGTAACAGATGACAACGGATATGAGGAGTTTCCTGAGGATTATTAGGCTTGTGGTCAACCAGTCGACCGTCCCTGTGATGGAGTTCCACGAGAGAGTTATCTTTTTATCTTCCGCTGTGTTATGTAAGACAATGTGATGCTATTATTCGTTATGTAAGTTACACCGTGATGATACTTTTTATAATTTGTCAACTTATGTGTGTGACGGATCTCTGGGCACACATGAGTTTAGTGCATTCAATTTTATCTTTAAAATTGGGTGTGACAGTTATTCACGCCAAGAGAGCTTTTATCCCCGTAAAACTCACATCTTCTCTCTTTTCTTAAAAAAAATGTTGCCACATCGTCAAAATCGCTTATGTAACACGTCAGCGCACCAAGTGGGTAAGGGAGAACCGAGCATACTCAGGATAGCGTGTCTATTTTTTTTGTTTTTTATTAGAAACAATTTTTAATAAGAGAGAAAAACACAAAATTAGTTTGCTGTTTTTTTTTTTGCCGCTTAGAATAGAATAATCAATGATTCGATAAGTAGTTTTTTTCTTCCTGGGTGCGCTTAGCCCTAAACAGGCTGCAGGCGCATCTATAAATGTGAGACGGGGGTAACCCTATAATCAAGCGCACACGGACCCCGGTCTGCGTTTCTTCCTGCGGGCTGCGGCCCTGCCTTTTCTCCCCTTCCCCCCTCCCCCTCGCCGCCCGCGTGAGCTCTCCCTCTCCCGTGCCGCCGACGACTGGGCGCCCGCGGAAACCGCCTCCGTCGGACCCTTCGCCGGCGACGAGCGCCACCAGGTACGCGCCACCCCTCCCCTCCCCTTCCTGACGTGCGAAACTGGGCACCCAATCCGTAAATTATTAAGCTGCTTGTATCCGGATTCGATCTTATTGCAAGTGTATACATGCGTTAAGCCTACTGACTCCCGTTTTTTTTTTCTTTTGCAAAATTATCAGGTGTACATGCGTACACCCATGCCCTTTAACTGCGCCCGCCCCGCCCCCTGCAACCGGTTTCCTGTTGGTTTGTGTGGATTTGGCTGCCGGAGGATTGATGCAGCCTTAAGGATTACTGTAGATTGGTTGCCAAATTCGGAGGCTGATCAGGTCATGTTGGGGAACCAGCGCATGATACTGGCCTTGGATTCAGCTAGCGCATCAAGCTCTGCCCCTGATTTGACCCTCTCTGAAGAGCCCCCTTCTGTGAGCAGGAACTGTGTGATTCAGAGCCTGCAGGTGGCCTGGGCGGCGCAGAAGGGAGGTGGGCAGGTGGTGGAGGGTCTGGTGAATTGTTACAGCAAGAAGAAGAATAAGATCGGCGGTGGTTCGTGGAGTCCTGCAACCAAATCCTGGGGCTCTGAGATGGAGGGTGCTGATGAGAGTGGTGAAGTTGAAGTCAACACGAGCGAGCTCATCGGTGGGATCGGCAGGGAGTTGGCGATTTCATGCCTGCTCCGTCTTCCCCGGTCTTACTACTATGATGTGGCCTGTGTTAATCGGTCTTTCTACTCCCTTGTGAGGTTCGGGGAGCTTTACAGGTTGAGGCGGGAGGCTGGGATCGTCGAGCAGATGATCTACTGCTCGTGCAATGTTCTCGAGTGGGAAGGATTTGATCCGTGCACATAGCGGTGGTTCAGCATCCTTCCATGCCTCCCATAGAGTGCTTCATGCTTGCTGATAAGGAATCCCTGGCCGTGGGCACCAATATCCTCGTCTTTGGGAGGAGGGTGGAAGCCCATGTGGTGCTGAGGTACAGCCTTCTGACTAACTCTTGGACGACAGGAGAGATGATGAACACGCCGAGGTGCTTGTTTGGCTCGGCAAGCTTCGGTGAGAAGGCTATTGTGGCTGGTGGTATTGGTGAGAATGGTACGTTGAGCTCTGCTGAACTTTATGATTCTGAGATGCAGACATGGACCACTCTTCCAAGCATGAACAGGGCACGGCAGATGTGCTCTGGTTTCTTCATGGATGACAAGTTCTATGTCATTGGTGGGAAAGCTGAGAGACACAATGAGGTCCTTAGTTGTGCTGAGGAGTTTGATTTGGAGAATGGCACCTGGCGCTTGATCCCAGACATGGCACAGGGCCTTAATGGTGGAAGCGGTGCTCCGCCTCTTGTTGCTGTTGTGAATAATGAACTTTATGCTGCTGACTATGCAACAAAGGAGGTTAGAAAATATGACAAGGAAAATAATGCCTGGATCACTCTTGGATTGTTACCTGGGAGGTATACATCAGTTCATGGCTGGGGCATTGCTTTCCGTAGTTGTGGAGATATGCTCATTGTAATTGGTGCAATGAGTGTTGGTGGTGGCGGGGTGATTGAAATTTGTTCCTGGGTACCCAATAATGAACCGCCTGATTGGAAGATCATTGGCACCCGCCGTTCCGGAAGCTTTGTGTACAATTGTGCTGTGATGAGTTGTTGACATCCAGGGCTATTACATTATCAACTGTACATCTTGACCAAAAGGAAGGATAAAGAAGGCAAATTCAGCTCAGTCTGTTTACTCCTTGATGGGTAACTTCTGCCCACTGGCATTTTAGGATAAGCTGAAGATCCGATAGAACTTCTCATGTAGCTTCTTACTTGCTTATGTCTAATCTCTTCATTTTAATTCCATTTGGAGCACCTGCAGTTGATTTCCGGAAAGTGGGACATGCAGTGCAGTATTAGATTAATAATTTGGTGCAGCCTCAAACATTTTCATCTTCCCTGGGCACCTTGATCAAAGTTTTTTTTGTTTTTTGTTTTTTAGCTCTAGAGAATAGCCTTACATTGGCAAATCATTTGCCCATAGATTGTAAGAAATAATAAAGGAAGAAAGAAATATGTCTTTGTTGACAATTGTTGCCTTTCCCTTTGTCTTTTCTTGGTTAATTGTGTCTGGAGGCAACTGTGAAAGTGTGAATCATTACCTTCTATTTGATGCAATGTTTTTTTCTTTTCTTTTTGGAAGATTTGTAGAGTATGTGTACTCATTAATAGTGCCTTGTTATCCTACCTATTGTGTCTGATAATGTTAATTCTATCTCAATTTGGCTTCTTGAGTGTGGAAAGCTGCTTTTGGTCATCTGTGAACTAACATTTTACTTCTGGAACAAGTGAATGTCTTGGGACATTAGTTGCCATTTAGACTTGCAATAATTTTGATTAACTGACCATTTCTTTTGAATTATGACTTTCTAGCTTTGAGGTTTTCTAAATAATTCACAGCAACGTTAGTATATACTACTGTGATGCATTACATAATGTTTTGAACATGGTGTATTGTAGTCAGTCTATATTGTATGGATACAATGTTGAAATTATTCTATATTGACTTGAACTAGATGCTTTAAGTGGTGAGCAGAAACGACAATTATTTACTGTAATGAGTGTCAAAGTTTGTGCCTGTTTGTTCTGTTGACAATGATCTTATATCCTTCTGTTCATTAAAAAGGATGTTGATTGCTTTGCATCACCGATGAGTTAAGCATATCAGTACCTAAGCTGTAGGAGTGTCTTTAAAAGCATATCAGTATTAAAGAAACGGTACAAACGAGTTCCCATGCTTTGTTTCCTATAACAGAGATAGCTTAAAAATCACTGACCTGGAACTTCTACACATAGTCTTTAGAGCATTGTTTCTTCTAGTATAATGATCTTACTGAAGTGTTTTACGAAAAAAGAAGGGGGGGGGGGCATCAATAGCATGCCATGGTTTTGAGGCGTCACCTAGGAGTCCAGGTGTGACCCCAACACCACAGGACACCACAAGATCCTGGTTACGTCTAGGCGCTAATGCATGTCCCTAATGTCACAGGACACCTCAAAACCTTGAGTTTTGCTTTCCTTTTTTCCCGACCTGTTCATATGTACCTTGGAAATTTTGTGGTAATATGGGGAGGGATTATTTTTTCTGAATAACAGTTCTATGGAATAATAACTCTTCCATATCTACATGACTATTTTGGCAGTTATCCTTTTATTTATAGTGCTCACTAAGAGAATTGATAATATCAATGATTATTGTTTAACTTTTACACTTGTGCATCGCTCTGGTTATACAAGGTGGCTCTGTTCTTTTTAATAGTGCATTTCATGCTTATTGAAGAATCTCTTTAATGCTTAAAAGCATATGTTATTCCTGCTCTCTAGGAGGGCACAAGTTGGATGATAACCCATTGTCTTCATGAGCTTATAAGTCTGGTGATCAGTCATGTATATGTTGAGCATATAATAGGTGATTGTGTAATTTAGTTTGTGTAATGGCCCATTCGAACATAACAAAATCGATAGGAGGATGAGCAGAAGATTGACGTCTGTCACTGTGTGCTCTGGGCCCACTCTCTGATGAAGGACACATATCGGACATGCATATGTGAACCCTTCATCGGATATCATATGTTTGTATGGCTTTCTGTCAGCTGAATTGAAGTTAGTAGCCATTGCTTTTAAGTCTGACCATTTGGATCATTCTTATTAGTGTTTCAGAGATATATCGTGAGTTCAGGCCATTAAATCTTTCTTGAATTGTGAAGGTTATACACTTAGAATTAAGGAACCTTATAGTTTCATTAAACAGTTATGACATTTATAATTTTTTTGGTAAGATGTAAAACATTTCCTATCAATAAGTACCACTAGTTCAATGGCATAGCTTATCTGAACCTCAGGTTCATTTTGCCATAAACGCAACATGTAAGTAAATGACTCAATCTAAACTTATTCTGGGCCAGTTTGTGTTGCTGTTCTACACAGTAGAATACTGGAATATAATCAGTTGGATGCAAAGTATGGTAAAATGGACTGCAGTTAATCATTTTAGCTCCTAGGATAGAAAGTATTAGAACATTTTTTCCGTACTATTTTTCTTTCTTTATAAATGCTACGAAGCATTTTTTGACATAAAATTATGAAAAAAAAATTGGTTCAGCACATTCATTTGGATTATAATTCAGAGTGACAAGGATATAGTCCTGTTTGTTGTATCCATTAGTTTGGAATTCTGACTATGCCAAAACAGGACTGGTTTATGGCATTAGCATTTGCTTTGGCAATGATGATTCACGTGCTCTACTATAGCATTTTCTGGTCCCATATCTTGGTTGTGGTAAATTGTGCTAATGTGCACAGAAGTAAATATGCTGATTAGAAGTAGAGGTAAATTATCTGCTGTGTTTCAAAGGAAAATCAATCTGGTACAGTTTTACCTTTATTATTGTTTATATCTGAACTAAGTTACTCATTACTCCCTTGGTCGGAAAAATAATGCAATTCTACGTTTGGAACACTTTAAGTTTGACCAAGTTTATAGAAAATAATATCAAAATTTATGTTTTCAAATAGGTTTACTATGAAAATATTTTTCTTATAATTAATCTAATGATATTTATTCAGTATCATAAATATTACTACTTTTTGTATAGATTTTGTCAAATTTGAAATTGTCTGACTCCCCACAAAACGAGAATTGCATTCTTTTTGGGACGGAGGGAGTAGCTGTTTTCAGTTCATGCTATCATATTGAGTTTAAGTACTCTATTAGAGCTATTAATTATTGACAATTTGATTAGTCAAATTGTCAAGATCCCATTAACAAGTTGTGGCATTTGAGTTTGATGGCATGTTGGCTCATTTACCTTTTATTTCCTTCGCAACATAAATTGCAGTTTTTTGGTATATATTCTGTTGCATACTTCTAGTTTCTATTGGTTTGACCTTGACATGAAATAAGCAACTTTCCAATTTTCTGTCTCCCTTACTCTGAACACAATATTTAACGAAGCGGTTGGCTTTAATCTAGTCAGCTCTACTCCCAAAGCAACTTCTAGAATGCAAAGTTGATGCTTATGTTCTTTGAATGGGACAAAATATCTATGGTTTCATCTTCCTGCTAATGAAGAGGAAGTGCCTTCTTTTCTAGGGATAATTTCAGTGGAGAAACAAACTAAAGAACAGAACAAGTATATGGCATTGTGCTTCACCTGGAGAACCAAGAAAAGGCAGAAGCAGAAAGGACAAGCAATCAAACAAATAGTGTTACTAACTAGTGCGACAAGCCTCTGAAAAAGAATCAGATCCATCACTACATTTGATGGAGATGTTCTTTAAATTACATGCCGTTGATTTTTTTTCACTAATTGTTTAACCACAGATTCCTCATTCATTCATATGTGCTGCGGGATTCAAGTTGGTAGAATCTCCAACGTAACTGCTCCATTAGCTGTGTCTGTGTCAGTGGCTACATGGTGATGAAGGTTTCTATGGTTAGTATTGAAAAACTTCAGCACTATGAATAATCTTTGCAAAATCATTGGTGGGTATGTAAAAGCTTCTTGTTTACACACAACTGAAAGCCAATTTAGTCACAGTTGGTATGATGTAAATCTGCTGTTTTGGCATTTTAGAAATTCCCCTCCAAAGCAAGATGGGGCATAAAGTTATCGCTAAGGAATTTGTCCTGCTCTATATTGTTCTTGATGCACCTACTTTGGTGCATAAAGTTGCTAATGTCACTGCTTTATGGTCATGATGTGTCTATATTTTGTTGGCTTATAGTCCAATGATGCGTTTACCCTCATTAATTTTCTCAGGTCACAATCTACAATGTTAGATTAGATGCACCTCACCAGGCTGAAGGATGTACCAATTACTCAATTATTTTGTGTGGATGTTGCACTTGTCCTTGAGAAAACGAAGCATCACCAAACATATCAATTCCACCCGAGGCAGATGCAAGTGAAGGCGGCTCAGGACTCATGTCTGTCTTGGTGTATCCTTCACTTGCCATTTACTGTACAAAGAAAAAAGGCGATTCTGATAGGGACTTTGAAATTTTGTCGCAGGCTTATTACTTCGTTGGTGCTGTCATGTCAGGAAACGGATGATTGCAGATTACCGAACATTACCTGTTGGGAAGAAAAAAAAATGGTGCTCTTGCATTGGACGCAATCACAAGTTGGCAGTATCTTATGCCTTTGGCAATTCCCTTGTGGTCCACGGCAGAGTGCTCATTGCATCGAAAATGGTAAAGTGAATGGGTGCTGTGTCATTCAGGTGACCTTATTCTCTTGTATTCATCCCTTTAATGAAGAAAACTTCTTGAGAGATTGCTGCAACTCTCTAAAGTGTACTTGGACAATTGAGCATCACTTCCATTATTCGGATTACTTGTTCTTCCGTCTCCTGGAAGTCTGCATATATGCACATGGATCCATGCGTAATTTTTGTTTTTCTCATCAAGTGCCACACTTCTTGCCTGATTAGCATGCTATAATTTCTCCAGCCTTCACCTATTTGAGAATCACTCCTCTCCAGCCTTGAAAACCAGTATTATTCCTTGTACCTGAGTTTGTGTCTATTTATGTCCATCCAACATTCTTAGGAAATTATTAGTATCGTTAATATTTGCCCAAAGGGGCCAATGGTCTCCCCTAAATGAGATACTCTTGCCCTTTTATCTTTAATATGATATCTGTCCCATAATGTCCCATAACATATTTCCATATAGCCCTCTACATTCCCTGAGAGGCTGAGACAACTGAAACCTGCCAACCTACTGTATATCCATTCAGACATCTTTTAGCCACCTACAAGGCTCAGTGCCTATCCCCCTATTCTATGGTACCATTCATAATCATAGGCCTTTAGTTAGTTGATGGTGGTTGGAACACAATAATTACATGATCACCAAGCCCTGCAACTGGAACCCCTCTCGAGATTGTTAATTCCATGTAAAGGTCTCCTTTGGATGTTGCATGGGGGCTAGTTGGCGAGCAAGACAAACTCTTCTCCTACCTTTTCTCAAGAACCCTAGAAAGATAAACATTTCTCAATTGCGGTTAGTTGTTGCCCCCGCGCGCAAAGGGGAAGGAAGGAAAGAAAAAGGAAAAGAAAAGACGATGCCGATGGCGACGCCAGTTTTATGAGAGGTACAATCTCGCTTGTGGCGTCCAATCCGAAAAGGAGGAAGAGAGGAAAAGGGAGAGAGGAGGCAATGGACGATTGTGAGGAGCAGGCCGTCCATGTCATGTCATGAGGATCACACCAAGCCCCGGCTCACCGAACTTCCCCTGTTGGAAAACGATGCGTGCTCGGGCAGCACTCGCCGCCGCGGCAACTTGGCAAAACGGTGGCAGCAAGTGCGCTGCAGCGGTGCTCCTCGAATAACCTATGTATTATTCTGGCCTCCACATCCGATCGATCCGAAGGTGCATCAACAATGCTGCGTTCCTCCTGTTCATGATAATTCATGAATGGACCAGTAATTCTGTTTTTACAGCACACTAAACGGAACAGAAAATCAATCATTGATCAGGACGTTCACTTTGGTAGTTCAAAATTGGCGCAACAGGATGAAGCTGAGATAGGTAATGGAAATGGCACCAATCATGAAAAAAAAAAAAGGGCAGACCCAGGTGCCAGAGGCTCTACATGAGTGAGGTCTGGGAAGGAAAAAAAGCAAGAGACAAGCCTTCCCCCGCAAAATCTACGGAAAGGCTGCTTGAACCCAAGACCTGTCATGAGGCCGTGAAAAAAATAGCAGGCAAGCAGATGATGGGAGCAATAATTTGTGTAATGCTTTTGTTAAGATGATATCAAAGTGGTAGACATGAATGCATCACTGGTGTCTGAACCTGAAGTCAACCTGCCAATATTCATCACCACTTTTAACACGATATATATAGCATACTAGACTTGAACTGTACCCCAAAAAATTATACAGCATAGTGGAACTACATTCCAACTTCCAAAGAACAGCTCCAGAGATACCAAAACTTGAGCTAGCGTAGTAGCATACACAGCGCGCAATGAACAAAGCATCCATCTGAATGACGGTCTACTGAAACTCTGAAACCCAACACAGCCTGCAGATCTTGGGCTGGGCTACACCTGCCACTCAACTCTTTAACATCTGAAGACGAGTAGACGGCTACGCATTGTTAAACAACTAGTAGTCGCACTATTTATCTTCTCATTAGTCATTCCTTTCTTCCTCAGTCCTCACAACCAGGCACCGGCACAGTCACCACCCAACTTGCCGACTTCTGGTTCTTTCACCCTAACAAGGGGACCGCCACCGAATGTGCTTGCCAATGACAGGTCAATGTGCTTCTCAGACTCAGACCCTCACCAAAAGCAAGAGGATGTTGATAATTTTGCCTGCCAATACAGCACAGTGATCCAAAAGCTACTATTGATGTTCAGAAAAGATACTGACTTGACAATGCAAATGATTAAAGGCCCACCAAGAGTAACATCATTTCTGCATTATGGTATTGGTGGGTAAATCTTCCAAACAGACATTATTGGCACTTAGCATCAGAAAACAATGTTGCATCGGTAAGCTTTCAGGAGACCATCATGACACATTGTAGGTGTTCCCATCATCTGGCCACTTCACTGTTGCAGTCCAACCTAACAAAAAACTATAATTTATAATCAGCCATTACGGAGTGTACATACCAGTATATTTAAAGTTTAAATAAGGTGATCCTATACCCCTAAACCAAAGAAACTTGCATACATGACATACGACAAGGCTAGAAAGGAAAAGGTCCAAGGAAGAGGCATGTGACGATGCTTGTAGCATAGTTGTCTATGATGTAGACAGATAGATTCACAGTTCAACACTCATCAAATGCAGACAATATATGAACTAGAATGGATACCAAGTATAACAAAATGGCTGACTGCAAAGCATACAACGGCCAGCCTAGAAGGGTCAATATGCAGTGCCAAACTAACCAACAACTGGTAGAGATCATTTATTGTGCAGCTACTACAAAAACAAATCAGAAATAAACAGTTGATTACGATGCTACTGATCAAGATACGGAGCAACATTGCAAAGAATTAAGAGAAAAACATGCAGTGTCTGTACCAGAAAAATGCCAAGACAAACACAACTGTGACTTAAGGTGTAGTTCATCAAAAAATCTTCAGAGTATGGTGGATAGAGTTGGGCATAGTTGCCTTCAATATAAGAGTCTGAAGATACCTTGACAGGTAGTTCTCTGGGGTAAGAGCAATGGTCACGTCCAGCTTGCTCTGCTAGTCGGCAGGGAGCCCATAGTGGCTCATGCAGCAAAGCATCACTTCATACTTAATGTGGCAAGGGTTACTCTCATGTCTCATCAAGAGTAAGTACCAAGTCAGGTCACTTGCTTTGTTACGGATTTGGCTTCAAGCATACCAAAACCCATAACAGTCCCTCTTGCACCTCAGTCCATAATTCACCATTAGCCTCAGCTCTACATCAAATGCTCCTTGTGACTTTACACTCCTACTATGGCTTGGAAGCAAGATGCCAAGGCCTCATCCTTAACTTGCATGAAAACCTCCCTCTCAATGAATGTAACCAGACAATCATTCAATAATTGTTCCCCCACTATATTTGTTAGCTTATTCTTAACAAGATCCATTGCAGAAAATGCCCTTTCAACGCTAGCAGTTGCTATGGGAAGAACCAGCACCAATTTAAGAAGCTTGTAAACAATAGGATGTTTGAGGCTCTTCTTGGTTTTAACAAGCATAACAGAAAGCTCAACAAAACTTTTCACTTTCCTAAACCTTTCATCCTCACGCATATCAGCAATAAACCGTGTAAGATGGCTTGGAAGATGCAACAAATCTGTGCTTGAAAAGTCCTTGGGATAAGACCTAGCAAGTTTAAGTACCTTGTCCTTGTTATATGGGTAAAATGAACTAGCTGGATCGAGTGATTCCACATTAAGAAGAAAATCTGTGTTCATCTTATCAAACCTGTCATTTAACTCTTGAAGTGCTCTATCAAGGATGCTTGCGAAAATTTCAACACGGTAATGTTGGAGATTCTTGACTTTTCTCAAGAACCCCTTTGGTTTTAAAACTGGCTCATAAATATCATCCATGCTAGGGACTTTGATGTCATGCTTCGCACAAAAAGTAGTGACATCTTTAAGAATTTTTCCCATTCATCATTCCCTTGCATTATTTCTAACTGTTCCTTTGTAGTATCAATGAGTTCAATGCCATTGACCATAAAAGAGTCTCTCATTTGCAAACATCTATTTAAGGTATATGTGCATCCCAATACATTCTTCAACATGTGTGTCATGAAAACAAACTCAAATGACTCAAAATATATCGATAGTTTTCGAGCATTGACAGCCTCTACACTGTGAGTATGGTCTCCTCCAATCATGATGAGAACACTTCGAATGGTGGGATACGGTATGGAAATTTGTATGCAAGTTTTATAATGAAATACCCGACGGGGATCATCACATTTACTAAAGCACTTCTCTTGATCCAAATCTTCTAGAACCTGTTGAGCTTCAGGTATTTGAAGCATTTGAGCTTTTCTGCAGGACATTTTAAGAAAGCTCTCCAAAATACAAGTTGCTGAAAGAAATCAGCACAAGCATCATTCTCCATAAGAAGAGGAACAAGTGCCAACTGCAGTTCCTGCACAAAGCAATGGACATAGTGAGCGGAAGGAAACTCATCCATGATTATTTTCTTTAGACCCTTCACGTGAGCCCTCATGTTGCCTGCTCCATCATACCCCTGTCCTCGGACCCTAGACCAGCTCAAAGGGTGATCCCTGAGCAAGGATTCAATTGCAGCCTTAATTGTTGAGGGCTTGCGGCCTTCGGGTTCTCAACATGCACAACCCCAATGAACCTCTCAACGACCCTCCCTTTCTTGTCCACATACCGCAAGCAAACAACCATCTGTTCATTATGGCAAGCATCGGTAAATAGACAAGCAAGTACTGCAAATTTTTCCTCCCCAAGGTCTTGGCTGATAAGCCTACTAGTTTCTCTGGCACAAGCGTTAACGAGACCTTCCATCATCTTCGGACTGGTCATCTCAGGATCGTTCAGAGTGTTCTGCAGAACCACCTTGTCCGCTCCATCCAAATTACCTGCCAGCCATTTCAAGAGCTCATGAAAATTCCCTTGGTTCAGCGAGTATTTGACTTCGTCATGCCCCCGGAAAGCCAACCCTTGGCGCAAAATAAACCTCAAGCTCTGAAGCAAAATCGACGGAGGTTTCGGCATCAAGGTGGAAGCGGTCTTCTGCACCTTTCCCGACCTTTCCCACAAAGACTTCAAATCCATTGTCTTCTGTTTCTTCGTCATGTCCAACTAATTTCTGCATTTCAACAACCAAAGAAAATGATTTAGTTGGATGGAAGTTGGGTAAGAATAAGAAATTTACTGTCAAGTCCACCTATAATGCATTGACTCACAATGAAAATGGACAATCTTTCAAATACATATGGAAAGGGGAAATCCCTGCTAAAATCAAAATTTTCATGTGGTTGGTTGAGAACAATGCAATTCTTACCAAGAATAACCTTCTCAAAAGAAAATGGAAGGGTGATCCTTACTGCTACTTTTGTGACCAACCAGAAAGCATCTCTCATCTGTTCTATTCCTGTTGTGTGGCCAAAGTTGTTTGGGCTACAATTGCCCATGCAATTGGAGCATCAAACATTCCTGGTTCACCAAATCAAAGTTGGAGATGGTTTGAGAAATGGCTTCCGAAAGGCAAAAAGGTTTTCATATTTGGTATGGCAGCCTTTTGCTGGGCAATTTGGAAAGCCCGCAACAATGCTTGCTTTGATGGCAAACAACTACGAAATCCAATGGAAAATTGTTTGTCATGCTTGTTCGCTTATGCGTTTCTGGGCAGGTCTCTATGCTGGCGAGGAGAAAGAAGTGTTGATTGAGGGGGTTAATGCAATGCTCCAGATTGCAGTGAAGCTCTTGGCAAAGAAGAATCAGAAGACTGGTGACATCAAGCGGCTCCCAGATTCAGAACAAGGCGGAGACAGAGACCCCGAATCTTCCAAGTGAAGTTGATGTTGATCACTGCTCTCAGATGCTTTTTGATTTTACTGTGTCGGTAGTGGCCTCAAGTTACTCCATATCTCATCAAGGGAGGTTGCAGATCATGACGCCTTCAAGTTTGCCGCTGGCGATACCTGTGCCTGTGTTGATATTGATACTGTGTAATGGTCTATGGAGTTGTAACGGCTGTGTGGCCGAGTCCAGCTTTGCCTGGATCTCTTCCTTTCTGTTATCTAGCTACTTCTAGCGTTTCTTTTTGCTGCCTAAACTCTCTTTAACGCTGTATTTCCGTTATTTCGGTAATGGAAATAGGGATAACCTCGGTTCGGGGGGAAAAATGCGTCACTGGTTCCATTCACTGTCAGACCAGACATCAACATTTTCGGACCCTTGAGTTGAATGAAACGCGCATTTTTCCAAGCGTGATGAGGAAAGATTCGGGCGCTGAGTACTGACCTGCTGCCCTGCTCGGTGCTTGCTCTGCTCACCGCCGTCGCCGCTCTGACTCCTCGCCTCCGCCGTATGCCGGCTGCGGCGGGTCGCCACTCCACCGCGTCCCGTCGAGACCGTGGGAAACGGCGACTTGCTCGAGTCGTGGCCGGCTCAGCTCGGCCAGTCTGGGCTCGTTTTAACTTTTTCGTGGGTTTAGCTGGAAGTCTAGTTTGTTATTTTTATGAGTCAGCTAGACTAAAAGGAGCTGACGTCTATCAGTTTATGATCATGAATTCAAAAGATGATGATGCTGATATAGAAATGTACACCTATTTTATTGGTACATAATCCTTATTTTCAAATTTTCGTATGAATTTTAATTTTATAATTGTTGTGGTACTTAAATGTTGATTTTATGGATTGTTTTTCATGGAAAAGATGATGATGCTGACATTGAATTTGTGGATTTTTTTAAGTTTGTGGTGGCAAGTAACTAGTTAGTATACTAAAACTGTATGATCATGGATGGATCAACTATGTTGCATGATTGATACTTTTAATGAGCCTAATATGTATTAATCATGTATGGTTATATAACGATGGACGTCACATTTTAAAATTAATGTAGCATAAACATTATAAACATATGTATCATATTTTTTATAGCTCGCGAGCTAAACGAGCCAGTTCGAACTCAGTAACGAGCCGAGACGAGCTACTTCTCTAGCTCGTAATATTAACGAGCTAAGCCGAGCTTAAGCACCAGTTCAAACTGGACCGAGCCGAGGCGAGTTGGCTCCATATCCAGCTGTAGGTGTGGCCTCACTCCGCACTGCTGCTCGACGACGACGAGGCCGCCGCCCTGGGAGCTCGAGAGGCACCCACGCGGAGATGCCGTTCTGGGTCGGAGAAACGAGGCTTCGGCCCATCGCTGTATATGACCCCAATACTCTTCTTATGGAAAAAGTTCTATTTGACTTCGGTCAACTATTACATAAGTTCTTCTAAAAAACTATTACATAAGTTCAATTCACCTCAATTGAATAAATATTTTTTAGACTCCTTCAACTATTGAAACCATCGATTTTACCTCCCTAAGTGGTTTTAAGAATGGTTTTGACATACATGGCACCAAGTCAGCCATGAGAGTGATAAATCGGACTTTCATTATAGTTCAGAGAGTTCAATTAGACTTTATAAAAAGTTCGTAGAAATTTATTTTTTTTAAAAGAATATCCTCATATTCGTACAAATGAGTCATGCTCCTAAAATTTGTATAAATAAGTTTTAAAAAAATATCCAAATTGCCTCATTGCTGAATCATGTGCTACCGGGGCATGTGCAAACCTACAATGATGACGGCGAAAAAAACGAAGAGTCTGTGTCCATTCAAATGTTATCGGCCAATTCACAGAAGTCGGTTTGGGAGGCTAACAAGTCGTATGCCGACCGTTGCTAATGGTCCAATGAGCCTACATACACCATTGTCACGTTTCCCCTGAAAAAGACAACACATGATACATGTTGCTAATAGGCAATCAGAGTTTGAATTGTATGTTCTATTTTGGTTTCCCCGTGCATGTCTTGATGGTTAAGCAAGACATTGCCGCTGAGGAACTTTTTGTAGTTTGCATGGCGGGTTGCGCTGCGATCCACGCTACAATAATTTATCTTGGTCTGTATCCTCTGTTTCGTATTTGGCCTATTCAAAATTTAGGAGACCAGATTCAAATGATTCTAAGAAAGGAACAAAAAGGTAGAGCATGATTTTTTAAAAAAATTCCAAGTTAAAATAAATTTTATAATAATAAATCAGATTTTAATATTTGTAAATGCATATTTATTCTAAAAAATAATCAAATAAGTTTTTTCAAAAACACATCTATATCTTTTTATAAAGTATAATTGATTTACCCGGACTATCGCGAAAGCCCGATTTACCTACCTCGTGGCTGACTTGAAGCCATGTAGGATGTATGACGTTACATCACGTTAGCGAAAACCACTCTCAAAATCACTCAAGGAGGTAAATCAAATGATTTCAATAGTTGAAGGGGCCTAATTGAGGAAGGTAAATCGAACTTATATGATAATTGAGTGAGGTCAAATGGATTTTTTTCCTACTATTGTCATTTCTCTCTGAAAAATAAGTTGGCCCTGCGCGCGTTGCATACACACTTTGGTTTGGATGATTTCATTTCCTACAGACTTGGTTGAGAGCACAAATACATTTTCCTAGAATCATAGAACTAGTATAAACTGCTTCATAAATTCCTTAAAATTCTGCTAGTTATTTTCAATAAGATTTCAGGTTCAAATATGGCAGTGGTAGATTTTAGGGATCTTTCCAGCACGGTCAGACTTTTGTGGCACATTGTAGATACTGGAAATGCACCAAGGAGCAGCAAGCAACACGTCCAGACACCAGATTACTAAGTAAGAGAGCCGCAGGCCCCGGAGGGCGCCGGCCGTGTACACGTCGGTGAAAATTTCGTGTCCCATTTATCTGTGGATGGAGTGTGGGCAAACTCCTGTACGGACCCTATCAAAAAAAAAATTCACTGCAGCTGCTGTGACGAGGTGAGACGGGTTGGCCTGCTCTCCTGGTGCGCTGTCGAGCAGGGGATGGCCAGCGCCGGGTCCCAGTCAGCGCGCTTTTGGTTGTCGAGCGGTCATTGGTC